GAAGAAGGGATGGATGCGGACATAAACCAACGGGCCTACCTTCTTCAACCGAATACAACCTACGGTCGTTATAGCTGTATGTATTTGGGCCAACTTCGAGTCTAAATACAGATATAATGACCGTACGTTGTATTCGGGTGGAGAAGGTACCTCAGTTGGTACACCCATGAACTGTTGAAATATGAATCAGACCCAAGTTCGAGTCCAGATACACCTATCCGCTGAAAAGACGAATATCATTCTGAAAGCCTAGAACCGGCCAATTCAATGATGATAGCTCAAGCCCGTCGCCCTTTCTAAATTAAAAACATTCTAAATTAAAAATATTCTAAATTAAAAACATTTAATATTCTAACTTTAAAATATTCTAAATTAATAATTCTATAAAAAAAAAATGAAAAATGAACAATATAAAAAGAATTGCCAAACACTTGCACATTCATTATCGACGCCAGACACGTGGATCGTTGTGAGTAACGAGTAAACGGATAGACGCATCGAGGAAAGTTCATGGAAACTACATGGATGGATACACTACGCACGTGGGGATTTTTTCTCCCTTTTTTTTTTTTTTTTTAAGCGAGAAATTTGGACCATTTTTCTAGAATAATGCGTGTCGTCCTTACGCTGGGCCCATGCGAATCAAGCTTCACTGTATCTGGGGGAAAAAAAAAAAAAAAAAAAAAAAAGTTTCGCTGTATCGTTCCAATTTTAACGGACGTCCCGAAGGACAACGCGCATCGATTTGAATAATTGTATAATAATTAATTTATTAATAAATTTTAAAACGTTGAGTGGGTGGATAAATGATTGTGGGTGGATTTGATTTGGGTCATCATGACAAACGATGATCACTACCATGATGACGATCATCACAATGACAACATACTTAAAATTATTTATAATAAAAAAAATCCGCACACGTGTACACGTGGATCGTTGCGAGTAACGGTCCTCTCGATGCATCTATCCGTATAAACGGATATAGATGCATCGTGGAAACTTCATGGATGGACACACTACGCACGAGGATTTAAATAATTGGATAAGAAATTAAAAAAAAAGTTCAGTGGGTGGATTAATGATTGTGGGTAGGGTCATGATGACAAACGATGATCACTACCATGATGAGTGATTACAATGACGATCATCACCACGATGATGATACAAGTACGGTCATTATAGCTGTATTTGGGCTATACTGCAGTCTAAATATACCCATGGATAGATGGGGGCAACATGATGAACGTCATGGTTATCATCATGATGATAATCGTGATGGTGATAATGATGATGACGAGTCAATCGCTTCACAAGATAATGATGAGGATGATGAAGAGGAGGATAAATGATGATGATGATGATGATGATGATGATAATCATCCTGTTAGTGGATTCACACGTCACCATCATCATCATCATCATCATGACCATCATGATGATAGGAATGATGAACGCCATGCTGATTATGATGATAATGATCGTGATGAGGATAATGATGATGATGATTGGTCAATCCACGCACGGGATGATGATGATGATGACGTATCAATCACAGGATGATTGATTGATGATGATGATGATGATGATGATGACGATGACGATGACGCTGATGATGGTGGTTC